ATGGTGAAATCCAGTCTCTACTAAAAATAAAAAAATTAGCCGAGTGTGGTAGCAGGTGACTGGCTGGTCTCGAACTTCTGACCTTGTGATCTGCCTCCCTTGGCCTCCCAAAGTGCTGAGATTAGAGACACGAGCCACTGGTGCCGGACTGAAATTCCAATTTAACTGGGCATCCTGTAGTTTTATATACTGAATTTGCCAGCTGTATGGAATGGTCGTGGGCAGGAGGTTGGGGTGGGGATGGGAGCCAGTCTTGGCCATCTTCCGTCTTCAGGGCACTGTCAAGAAGGGGGAAAATTCACAGTGTTTTCCCGCAGTGCTGGGGCACTTTGGCAAATGCCTTCCTCGCCAGGCCTCAGTCTTCATGTCTGTAGAATGGCTTTATGATTTGGTAGAAACGAGTCTTTGGGCCAGGTGTGGTGGCTCATGCCTGTAATCCCAGCACTTTGGGAGGCTGAGGTGGGTACATCACCTGAGGTCAGGAGTTCGAGACTAGCCTGGCCAACATGATGAAACCCCATCTCTCTAAAAATACCAAAATTGGCCAGGTGTGGTAGTGGGCGGGGGTAATCAGAGCTACTTGGGAGGCTGAGGCAGGAGAATTGCTTGAACGAGGGAGGCGGAGGTTGTAGTGAGGTGAGATCATGCCAGTGCACTCCAGCCTGGGCAACAGAGCAAGAATCTGTCTAAAAAAAAAGAGAGAAATCTTTGAATGTTGTTCTGTCCCTCTCTCTAGGCTGCCAAGCAAATCAAACATGGGTAAGAAGCTGGGGTCTACCCCCAACCCAACTGCCCTGCCCCTGGTATGAAGACAGGGGCCACCTAGTGAGGGTGTCTCAGTCCGGAGCCTTGGATATGTGCCCAGAGGAGGGGCCTTCCCATACCATAGATTTACCTGGCCTGGTCCCCCACAAGATGCCTGCTACCTCCTTCCCCACAGAGTGACCACGAAACCTGCCTTCTGGCTGTCATTGAAAGCTAAGGTCAGTGATAACATGAGTCACCTCATGGTGGACTTCGTGCATGAGCAGCAGATGCTCCAGGCACTCATGTTCCTGCCTGGTGAGAGGGGCATGCAATGGAGTGCCAGGACTTTGGTGGAATGGCCTGGAAGGCTAGGAGACCCTGAAACAGGACCTGGAGTAAGGTAGACGGCCAGGTGTCTGAATTCTGCCTGGGGCAGACGGAGGCCTGAGAATGCCAAGCCCTACAGGGGCGGAGTCCTCGTCAAGCCCTGCTCCTGGGTGGAGCTATGAGACGCCTCCGCCTTCTTCCCACCAGGTTGGAAAACACAACTGTCCCCAGTGGTGGAGCCGTGAGAATACCATGCCCTGGGGCAGTGGAGTCCTCATAAAACCTTGCCCCTGGATAAAGTCATGAGAAGGACCCACCCACCACATGGTAGCTTCTGGGAAAACTCTGTCCCCAGGGGTGGAGCCCTGAGAAGGCCACTCCTCTGGGGAGAAATGGACAGAAAACCCACACTGTCTATGATACAGCCCCAAAGAAAGCCACATTCCTCGATGGTAGAGAATTTGCAATAATTCTGCCTCTAAATGATGGAATCCTGAGAAAGCTCAGCCCTCCCCCCACTCCTTGGTGGAATCTTAAAGAGTCTCCATGGCCAGGCACAGTGGCTCACACCTGTAATACCACCACTTTTGGACACCTAGGAGGTAGATCACCTGATGTCAGGAGTTTGAGACCACCCTGCCCAACATGGTGAATCCCCATCTCTGCTAAAAGTACAAAATTAGCCGGGCATGGTGGTGCATGCCTGTAATCCCAGCTACTCGGGAGACTGAGGCAGGAGAATCACTTGAGACCAGGAGGTGGAGGTTGCTGTCAGCCAGGATTGTGACACTACACTCCAGTGACAAGAGCAAGACTCTGTCCCCCACAAAAAAAGTCTCCACTCCCAAGCGTGGAACCCCATTGTGGCCACACCCTCAAAACTGTCCATCATGTGGCTAGGTGGGGCTGAAGCAAGCCCCCTGCCCCTGGCACCAGGCCCAGAGCCCTGATCCCCTCTCCCTTCCATATTGGGCAGTGCCCAGTACGCCAGTGACCGACCTGGCTGAGACCCTGGTGGCAGATAACTGTGTGATCCTGGTGTGGCGCATGCCAGATGAGGGCAGCAAGATTGACTACTACGTGCTGGAATACTGGGGAGCCAACTTTGAGGGCCCACCCTGCCTCAAGGACCAGCCAGGGATGGTCATCAAGGGTATCTGGCAGACAGAGTATATAAGGGCGGTGTGCACCAGCTCCACCCAGCTGATGAACAGCAACCCCCTCCAGACTCCTGTCTCGCCATCTGTTGTCGGGGGTCTCAGGGACAATTCCTGTATCAGACAGTGGCTGGGCGCGATGGCTCATGCCTGTAATCTTAACACTTTGGGAGGCTGAGGTGGGTGGAGGATCGCCTGAGGTCAGTAGTTCAAGACCAGCCTGGCCAACATGGTGAAAACCTGTCTCTACTAAAAATAAAAAAAATGAGCTGGGTGTGATATTGGGCACCTGGTAATCTCAGCTACTAGGGAGGATGAGGCAGGAGAATCCCCGGAACCCGGGAGGTGGAGGTTGCAGTGAGCTGAGATCACGCCACTGCACTCCAGCCTGGGCAACAAGAGCGAGGCTCCATCTCTAATAATAATAATAATAATAATAATAATAATAATAATAAATGAATATATATTTTTAGATGGGATCTTGCCATTTCCCTAGGCTGGTCTCCAGGTTCTAGTC